CTACCATCATCACCAACATCATCACCACCATCATCATCATTTAACCATCATCACCACCATTATCATCATCACAACCATTACCATCATCACTACCATTACCACCATCACCATCATCATCATCACCACCATTACCATCATCACCACCATTACCATCATCACCACATTATATGTACAGTATTAGAGATAGTCAGTGTCATTGTTACATAATATGTTAAGTACAGTATTTTTGTCATGTTCTTTCTTATATGAAAGCCAATGCAACTTTCCTTGTAACCTTTTAAAACAACCTATCAGTTAAATGTATATAAGTTGAATAGTTAGTAGATGTTTATCTTCTATTACAACGTGACTAAACTACAAATTTGTAGAGTTTTGACAGATTTCTTTTGAATGTTGAAATATTATTTCTATTATGAATGCTGAAAATGGCTTGGGCAGTACATTCTGAATCAATCTTTTATAATAATCCGGAGATTTTAATATTACTCTTAATTTCTCTCATTTCTACAATCTGATTGTGCCATGTTTAGTGAGTCATTGAACCGACTTAACAAGATTTCTCAATATTTGATGACATGTTTGTTTGATTGCAGCGAGGCAGATCCGTTAGTTGGCTGGAGTAAGTCAGAGTCGTGGCGTGCAGAAGCTACATACGCAGCCATTGTTGCTAAGGTAGTTAACGTGAATGTTATTAATCATGAAATATCTCCAACAGTATGATCCAGATCTCCTTCTTCATCATCATCATCATAATCAGAATCTTCATCATTATCCATTTCAACTTGTTGAATGAAAATTTTAATTTCTTTTTCTATTCTTATAGTAATCATTAACACCATTGTCAACATTATTATAGTTGCATGAGGATTCATCTGGGCAATAGGCAATGTCAATCTCTTAATATATTATTATCATACATCATTTTCATCATCATCATCATCATCATTAACATTATCAGCAGCATCAGTAATTGCATCAAGTTTCGGTACACCATTATAGATTACCATGATATTATTAATGATACTTTCTAATGTCTGTTTATTACTTCTCAACACTGACCTGGGGTCAAACGAGTCTTAAGCCATACTGATTCGTACTTAAAGACTAAGTGACATTTTATTACATGATTCTTTAAATCTTGTATGGTATTTTATACTTTCTTCTGCCTCTAGTTAAAGATCACCTCCAATTAAAGGCTACTTTTTAAACATTCCTTATTTGTCCTTTTCCTGGGGTATGTGGGGAGGGGACCCACGTCAGCTGCAGTGGAGCACCACGTGATTTATCTACAACATGTAACTGATGCATCTTTGATTAGCGAAACAACCAGATGCCAATTGAAACCTGATGCTGACTGGGTTTGAACCAGGGTCTTCAGTTCAAGAAGCAGGAACAATACCTCTCAGCCAGTTGCTTCTCAATTTTAATTGTCTTTAGCAGCTTATGTCTCTAAAATACAAACAAATAAATGTGAATGTTCTTTATTTAGAGTGTGTTTTGTGTAGGTCAAATATTTCTATATTTTTAATAATAAATTTAAAAATTACAATTTAAAAAAAGAAAAGTTCTGCTAATGTTGAGTAACATTTACTGCTAAATGTTAATTATAATAATAAATAATGATATGGCATTTATATAGGCAATTTAATATTAATGATCATAGGACTATTGGGCCTAGGGGAATTTTTTTTTATGGATGCTGTGTTCTTCTGTTTTCATATTTATTTAGCATTTTATGTTTTTATATCATGTAAGCCGTTTATGATGAAGATTAAATTTCCCCTCCCCAAAATGGTACAAATACCACTAATTGTGTTAAAATACTAAAATTGACTATTAAGTTTTCATTGGAATAGGGATTTAGTTCCACATTATCAAATTTCGCTTACCCCTCCCCAAGGCCAAAAGCAGCCCATGCCCCTGATGTAAATTTTCTTTTAATTTTGAATCTTTAAAAAGAAAATTGAAATGGAAAGAAGACAAAGTGACAATTTCTCACTCATCCAAGAAATTTCTTTCTCCATCCTTTTAGTTTTAGCTTCTTTTTATGTAACTGATTAATTTTCCTTCTAGTGCTAGTGGCAAGTTATTTCTTAACTTTAGCTTGATGAATTTTTAAAAGTTTTTGTAGTTATATCTGCCATATTGATTTTGTTATTAACACGTTGACTGCCAGACTTTTTGTAGGTTCCGTCCCGTGTGCCAAAACTAGTCATATATCATCAAAATGGTGTGTTTAATAAATCGGCGGGAAAATATTAAGGGAGTAAGCTCGTCGCAGGCAATGGGACAGTACTTTTTAATGCCTCTGCCATGTGCGAGGTTTCTCGACCGCTTTTTGCATGGTTCGGTATAGGTTCAGAGGACACACCCACTCGTGCAATTGAGTGTACTGCCAGCAACATATCACAACAAACATACATACGTTTAGTACGTTATCGTCTAGGTGTATATTTCCCGAACTATCAGCAGTTAAGTATGTGGTTGTACAGTGTATAACAATGAAGTAATAAACGATAGAATGTTACCCCGATTTTGACGAGTACAGTCATCTGTAGTGCCCTCGGCGACAAACTGTGGGACAAGTATACTCGTCGCTGGCAGCGAACGTGTTAAGCAAGCCTTTTGGGTTTAAGCACATGTGGAAGTAGCCAGATTCGTTTTTTAAGGACAAGCTTTTGCAGAACAAATGGCATAATAATACATTTATTTCCTCAAATACAGGAGGAGGGAGATGCCAAGAAGGAACAACATTCCTATAAAAAATTTGGTAGCCCCAGACTAACATCAAACACTAGTTTGCTACCCTTTGCTATTCAATACTATTCTACATTATTTTTTGTCAGTTTTTGACTAGTACAGCTAACATGTTAGAGTCAGTGTTGTTAAAGTTCAAGTGGTCATTAGGAGTGAGCCAGCAAGTCTGCCAATACTTATATCATGATATGGATATAAATTTATGACTGGCTGGCAAAACCAGCCATTTGTATGAAAAGTTCAAAATTGTGGGTTTTTGGTATTTTTAGATTCTGCATTTCTTCTTTAAAACAGTGTTTATTTGATGGAATTTGATTGAGTATTGCAAAGTTATGAATATTTAACTCATTTGAGAAACCAGCTTCCAAAGGCCCCAAAATCAGTAGTTATTATTATTAGTATCTTAAAAATAATTTTAATATAGTTTTGAGTTAGATTTAATGATAGATATTTTGCAGAAAGGTTCTTAAATATACTGTATGTTTTATAAAATGTAAAAACCTGAAATTGTTCAAAATTCTTACTCTCAAACCTTTTGGGTGCTTGTCTGAAATCAGAAATTGCAACAAATGGCGGGTTTTGCTAGAACCTGTCATAGATTAGTTTGGTGTAAGTCTTGCATGTTAGTGCAAATATACAAGTTAGGTTTTTTGATCTCTTCCAATGACAACCTGCCTGCCTGCCTCCTCTTCAGCAAAGACTTGTTAGAAATAATTGGAAATGTAGAAGCTGTTGTTTTTTTTTTACCTTTTTGAAAGGGGAGATTGGCTTTGATACCCCTCATCAATTTTATGTCAACGAAGGAAGCCGCATTTGATAGCTTATTGACCAATTATAGCGTCTTCTGAGTAGGCTAAAAAATTATTGCCAGCTATTAAGTGATGTATGCTGCTGTTCGAGTGATGGTCTGTCATAAACCATGTCATGGTTCTTTACTTGCTCCTCCCTAGGATTTAAAGATTTTATTACTTCCATTATCCGCTTACAAAATACAATTACAATACAAAATAGAATATATCTATTTTCTAAATTGAATGATAAAAATAATAATACAATAAGACCATTATTCCAAACTCTGTTTAGCAAATGCTGAACATAATAACGATAAATGCCTAGTTTATCTCACTCGTAGACATAACAACATGACTTGATTTATGTATGATTTCAAGTGACTATCAATCCTCAAAATGATGGAATAAGATACTAAATGTTTTTGACTGTCATGAGCAGTAATGAAATGTAAGCCAATGTTTTGTGACATGCATTCTTCAGAAACAATATTACATAGCACAGTATTATATCAAACCAGATAAAACTTTATAAAAGTATAATGCTAATATATATAAATTCGGCATATGCTAGGTTATTTTTTTTTTCTTCTTGTTATTAACAAGAAATTATACAGTTCTCTTTTTATAAGAACATGTTCTTAAAGACTATTAACCACTGATTTCCTTACTTAATGTTACTGGTGCTTTAAGTGAAAAACAGAATTATACAGGAAAACAATTTGTACTTAAAATATACTTTTGAACAATTTTAAAAAGTATGCAATTTTATAGGTTATTTTTACCCTACTAATGTTGAATGATGAAGATATTTATTTAGATTTGTATGTTTTTACAGGTTGTAGTACAACATCAGCACCTCTTAAGTAAGAATCCGATGATAAATTACTCATTACTAAGTAATGATAATGGATTCCTGAATTTCTACCCAAGTTTTTTTGACCAGCGAACGCTCGTTAGCCGATTTCAAATGAATAATACCAAACCAAAGACAGTTCAAGTGATCAAAAAGCCTGTACTGAATGTAATGGGGCTGCTTGCGCTGATGGGAAACGAACAGGTGTCCACGTATGGAACAGGTGAGCTTGTATCAATTCATACGTTTATATCAACAGCATCGATATCTCCAGAAATTTGCCAATGGGGTCCGACGCGTTCAACAGAGGGTCCGAACGAAGGGCCAACAAGAGCCTTGGTCTGGATCCCGGAATAAAAAGTTTTTGTAGGGTTCACAGGGAGAGTTTTTATGGCTTATATATGGCCCAAATTTTACTTTTAGACAACAATATTAGGGATTGGCTAATAAAATAACGTTATTTGGATACCCAAGTTATTATTATTATTTTTTTTTAGTTTTTGGTATAACAACCTCGAGTGGCTTTGGAACATCGGGGGTCCAGGCCTGTCTGCCAGTACCGCTACTAATCAACAGCCCAATGATATTTTATTCAGAATTACAGTATCTGTTACATGTTGCAATGTTCAAACAGAAAGAAATGTTTCTTCTCAAGATTACAAGATCATATTACTAGGGTTTTTTTTTTTGCTTTTAAGAAAACAGCCTTAGATTTCGAATTTGCTGTTATCATACACTTTACGCTATTTAGCGTAATATTACATTATTTTAATGGATGCGCCAATAATATGTGTTTTATAGCCACAACACTTTTTAAAAGTAGGTCTCAAAACTTTATAGCTTTATTGTTTATGGTCATATAAAAAAAAATAAACCCTCCAAATTCAAATGAAACATTAAAGTGTTTATTTGAATTGGTCATATAAAAGGATCAAGTTGTAAACTTTAAAATAAAACACAGATTTTAAGAAATCAATTTCTACTGATTTACAAACGTTTTATTACAAGAATCCTCAAATTGATTACCAGGTATCTTAAGGATCTATTTCTTGTAATTTTTTCATAGAAAGTTTTTTAATACAGTAAATTCACACATACACATTTTTCCAAATTTAACAAGTTGTAACGAGGTTTATGTGAGTGTGAAAGCAAATCCATGTTAAAAACTTTCCAAGATTTTGCAGGGGTTCCCTGAGTTGTCTCAGTAGAAAAACAGGCCAACTTGTCGAGGCCTGTTATTCTTCTGAGATATTCTGAGTTGTTAACTGCACCACCGAATTGACCAACCAAAACAACATTTCCCGTTTTCTTCACTGTAGTAAAGTAGCTAAAAATTGGTTAGCTTTGGTGTCCTACGGCACTACAGTATCACATCAAGCACATGGGCAGTGTGTGTACTTGCTGGTTTCGTTTGTTAAATAAATGAAATGGAGAAACTTTGTGCGATGCGACAGCGAATGATGATGCTGGTTGCCCTGATTGTCTCTTGTACTTCCACGGGGCCAACCACTGGATCGTTTATGATTTGTCTGGCCATCTTGTTTTTGTTTTGAAGGAAACCCACGAAAGGAAGCCCTCAATTACACAAAATTTTTGTTCTTCTGAGATTTCGCAAGGTTTGCAAAATGCATGTGTGAAAGCAATAGTATATCTCTGGATGTCATGTTTGTTAAAACTTATTACAAATTATAAAAAGTTGTAACATTTTCTGTATGTGTGAATTGGGTACTGTATACATCCCTGTCCAGATGATCAGATCAGGGCTTTAAATGTAAAAGAAACTTTCAACTTGATTATTTAATTAGCTCGTCACTGATTATATATAACTATGGTAACATTTCAAATGGATTAATTAAAATAAATCAAGAATACTGAATAAACTTAAAAATCAGATTTCGATCAAAAAATTCATATCAAGATATAGTAAATTGTTTGAAAACAACTGGCTGTGGTTTAGATGGCAAAGCACTACCTTATAGAATGACAGTCTTGGGTTTAAATCTTAATTGGTCCTGTTTTTATTTATTGCATAAACATTTATCAATTAAGACTTCATACTAAATTAAAGAATCTATTGTAAAACTTAACAAAAAATGTATTATATTGTTTGTTACTGGTTCGTTAGGCAAGAAGGACGGGCAAAAATGTGGATGGCGTCTTGACACGTTGTTTCATCCACTTGATTTACGACAGAACTTCCAATTGCATTAGTTCTCTCTGGAGGCAGATTCCAGTAGCTGGCAGGCTATTAGTTTTGGGACTTGTCTTCCTGATGTTAATGAAGTTGCACTTAGCTGCAAATATCGTTTATTTCGCTCAAATGTCCAAACATGTATCAGGTGATTCTCATTTAATTCTTAATTTATGGGCTCCATCAATTTGGTAACCAATTCCAGAATGCATCCTATATTCATCCCTGGCCACATCATTAGGGCATGGAGGTAGTGGAGTGTAATCCACGATAAAAAGGCAGTATAATATAACACATGTGCCATACGTCAGGATGTTGGTATGTTGGCCCGATTAACTGTGTGTAATGCATAGTTGTACAAATACATCTTAAACTCAGAAATTACCATTTTTTATAAACTTGTTTTTCATACTAGCAGTTAATCTTCTTTTTCTACTTTCTTTGTCTTTGTACCGATCTACTTGTATTATGAATGCAGTAATGGTGCAGTATTCTATTTATATATGTGCATTTGCATCAATTGTACTATTTTTATTTCTCCTTTTGCGTGAGTTAATGAATAGGTAATTAAACCACGTCCACACTACCTTCATAAAAATAATTAATAACAATATAATTATCATGTCTCTTTGAATAACCGGTTGAATGCAATGTCTTCTCTAATTTCATGATCAAGACATTTTGTTTGCATGAACGATGTTCAATTTTAGTTCTTAATTGTTTGTTATCATCGTTATCATTATTGGCAGGCTTTCTCACCATCCTTTATACTTCTGTCTTCTATTCTTTTTTAACTAATTTCATATTAGATGTTACCTAGGGATAAATTCCAAATTACCATCACACTTGATTCAAATGTCTTTATTTTTAACTCATCTTGATGTTACTCAAAATTGATTTGTTAATGACAGTTAATTATTTGTAAAGCAGATTACCTCAACAAAATGAAAATACTGTATTATTTCCAATTACCCATTCAGATATCCAGTGGCACATTCAGGCAGGCCCGGGGGAACACCCCCCCCCCCCATTTTGTACTGTCAGTATTTCAAATCTCCTTGGGAAAATGCATTCTGAAACTCCTTCCCCCTTTCCCTCTTTGTAAATTCCTTATCTACTCAAGATTTCTACCCGCTAATGGAAATCATCAATTATCGGCATTTGAATGCTTTAGTCTAAATGCGCAGAGCATTGAACTAGAATTTGACTTGGTCTACTCCCCAAGGAGTAGGGGATATTGCCAGTTGTGAATGATGGTAATTATAAATCAAATAATCAGGGATTAAAAACATGGCACTTTTGCGCCTTTGTCTTCGGCTTGATAAAGGAACTATAGAAACACCAAACACTATTTTAAATGACATCTCTCTGCTTCTTTGACATAATGTAATATATTTAGCTTGATGCAGTAGTAGTAAAACTTTATTTATTCATGATGCACAAATTCACAAATACTGTACGCTTTTTTTTAAAAATATCATCATGACCTTAAAACATTACATTCATTTGATAACATATTACATTATGGTTATACAAAAGCAAAAGTTACACACTGAAAATTTAACAAGATAAATACTGTATATAACATAATTAGTATACTTACAAAGAATGCAAAAATATAAATTAAAAAAAATATTCAAACAAAAAGTCTACAATTTTAGTTAAATATATGTAAATGTATACCATAGAGTGGCTAAATAAATTATGGGAATGAAGAAAATCCTTTTCACAAAGGTAAACTGTAAGCTACTAAAAAGGGGAAAATATAAATAAAATAAAACAAAGCAAGAAAACCAATAAATTAGTGATTTATTATACAGACTGTTCTTAATTATATATTTTAGTTTCATTAATTATTTCAAATGTGGTTCTTAATAGTTGTCAATTTAATCAGCACATTTTGTGTTTGAACCTACCATGTACCCACTTGTACTTTTGGGTAGAAAGAAACAACTGCTTTCTTGATCTCTCTCAGCATCCATAAAACCATTAATATCTAGAGCATCGAAAATCATGATGGTACATTGTGTACCTATTAGAAAAAGTTTAATGCAACGGAATGAGGTTTGCCCTCCAGTGAATAAAATATTTATTATCATTTTCTAAAAGTCAAAATTCCTAAGAAATATATGGCTACACATTATTGTACATTAGTACGTCTAATTGATTTCAACTACCCAGCTGATGCCTGATTACATTGAAGGCTTACAGTAAAAAAGACACATCTTTACTTTAATCACATGAATTAATCACAACGTTGATCTGAAATTGTCCAAACCTGAATTAGAGCTGCAGTTGCATTTTAGTTTCTGAACCTCAGATGGATATTTGAACCACTATTGTAAATTTCACTTGTGCCCTTTGACATGACAGTTTTTTAAGTTAGTTCCATTTACTATAAAATACAAAGTAAATTATAGTAGTTTGACAAGATCCAAAAACACACTCAAATACTGTACAATATTAGACATCCAGGAGTATAAAGTACCAGGGGCGGATCCGAATTATTCAAACAACAGTTTCTGAATAGGTAAGTGAGTAGCACATAACACTGATTTGCATTGAAATTGTTAAAATTTAGTGGCAAAAGTGGATCCGCCCCTGGGTACCTTGTAGGATGTTGTGGCATTGAATATAATATTCTGCATCTGCATTGCTTTGCAACTCACCGAGTGGAGGAGGTTGTGCCAATTTATGGATTCAATCACCAGTGGTAATAATAATAACATTGTGAGCAAAAAATGCAGTCACATTTCTTATTTAATTACTGACCACTCTGTGGACGTAAGCTAGAGATTAAATTTTATACAAGTAAGTTAGTCTTAAAAGTGCTGTTGTCATTTCATTTATAATTAATTTTTTTTAAAATACCTCCTTCAATACATTTCCTTTTGAACGTTATTTTACAAAAAATCATTTAAATTGATCATTTTACATCTGTTTCTGTTTTTCTCAGTTCAGTATTTTGTTTCTAGATTAAATTACACTAGAAAAGGTAGGATTAATATTAGGGAATTTTACTCAGGAATTTA